AGGCTTAGCATTTAAAACCGAAAAAAAAAAGTGTTGCTTGACTTTTAAGGACTGAAAAGCTGGAATTGGGTGTTTGTCCCCCTTCCAGTGGGACAAGGAAGTACTTAGGTCCGGTTTCTACGTAAAAGTCAATCTGCAGAGGGTGTGCAATCCCACGAATACTTTCCACACGTTGAGTTAAAAAATATATATATATGGTGAAAGAATGAGTGAAGCGTGAATGGGCTTTGGAGTCAGGCACCCCTGGGTTCAGGCCTGAGGTCTGCCTCTGACCCGTGTGACCTTGAGGCAGGTCAGTCGGCCTGTCTGAGCCTGGCTTTATCTGTAAAGTGAGGTCAGTGATAGTTTCCGCTTCCGCTTCAGTTGAGTGAAGAGCTAATCCATGCATAACCCTCAGTAGCTCTAAGTGCTCGATAAATGCTTCCCCTGACACGGCCGGCAATTCTGTAGGGCCGAAAATACCCAAGAGGAGCTGCGAGAGTTCCAGGAGGGAAGCCGCGAGTATGAAGCCGAACTGGAGACGCAGCTGCAACAGATTGAAACCAGGAACAGGGACCTCCTGTCGGAAAATAATCGCCTTCGCCTGGAGCTAGAAACCATCAAGGTGAGAGGAAACAGGCAGCAGGTGTGGGGTGTGGGGTGTGCGCCTGGACAAGGGAGCCCTGCCTTGCGAGGGGCCGCGGCCAGCCCCGGGCTCCCTCCCACCCCTAGGCCTGCTGGGCGGATGTGGTGGTGGAACCCTTGTTTGCCCCCCATGGGCAGAGCTCTGTGGGAGCATATCACACAGGTGTCCCTGTGGCCCATTCTTGGGTGTCTACCGCAGTCCCACAAGGCCTGCAAAAGAAAACGTTTTGAGAGGATGGAGTGTCACTAGATTTGCTGATCGGGGGTATGATAGCCCCTAGATGCCTACTGATGTTTAAGTTAAAGTAAAATAGGGACAAATTTAACTCCTTGGTTATACCAGTGACGTTTCAACTACACGACAGCCGCATGTCTAGTGGGTATCATTACTGGACAGAGTGGTGCAGGATATTTCCATCATTACAGAAAGTTCTGTCGGACAGAGCCAGTCGAGACCAGGTTTCTCAGCCTGGACGCTGCTGACATTTGAGGTCAGGTCATTTTCAGTTTAGGGGGCTGAGTTGGTTGTTTGTTTGTTTTTTAAATTTTTTTTTTTTAATGTTTATTTTTGAAGGAGAGAGACAGAACGTGAGTGGGAGAGGGGCAGAGAGAGAGAGAGGGAGACGCAGAATCTGAAGCAGACTCCAGGCTCTGAGCTATCAGCACAGAGCCTGACATGGGGCTCAAACTCACAATCTGTGAGATCATGACCTGAGTGAAGTCAGTCGCCCAACTGACTGAGCCACACAGGTGCCCATAGGGGGCTGAGTTTTACACTAGGATGTTTGTGGGGGGTTTTTTTGTTTAAAAAAATTTTTTAATGTTTATTTTTGAGAGGGAGAGACAGAAAGAGTGTGAGTAGGCGCAGGGGAGGGACAGAGAAAGGGAGACACAAAATCCAAAGCAGGCTCCAGTCTCTGAGCTGTCAGCACAGAGCCCGACACGGGAGTCAAACTCACTAACCATGAGCTCACGACCTGAGCCGAAGTCAGACACTTAACTGACTGAGCCACCCAGGCTACCCATGGTTTCTTTGTTGTTGTTTTTTCCTTTCAAGTTTATTTATTTATTTTGAGAGAGAGAACAGGGGAGGAGCAGAGAGGGAGAGAGAGAATCCCAAGCAGGCTCCACACTGCCAGTACAGAGCCTGATGTG